AACTCAGGGTCTGGGCACTGTCCCTCAGCCCTTCCTTCCTTCCTTCCTTCCTTCCTTCCTTCCTTCCTTCCTTCCTTCCTTCCTTCCTTCCTTCCATCTTTCCTTCCTTTCTCTCTCTCAATCTTTCTCTTTCTCTCTTTTTCTTTCTTTCTCCTCAAGACTAGCTCTTTACCATTTGAGCCCCCAGCTTTTTGGTAGTTTATGGGAGGTAGGGGTTTCAGAGGACTTTTCTGCCCCAGGCTGGCTTTGAACCACAATCCCCAAGAGCTCAGTTTCCTAAGTAGCTAGGATTACAGACATAAGCCGCCAGTGCCTGGCTCCTTCATGACAATCATTAGCCATATTGACCATTAAACGCTGGATCCATGCCATGGTTTTCACTGGGTGTTTATTCATTTCCGGGCCAATTCCGGTTAGGGGAGTGAACATGTTTTATGTTGCTTAAGGCACAATATCTTCTAGGTACTGGGTGTGGACACCCCAAGTCATGTTTCCTCTCCGTCACCAGGTGTTCATGGAGCTCCAGTCTGAGAGAAGGCAAAGTCCTGCCTTGGGAAATGGAGGTTCACTGAGAGAACTGTGTTGGGGTGGGAATAGCGAAGGTCTATGGTCTGAAGAGGAGTTTGGCATGGTCTGGGTCTTAAAAGTCCTCCTAGGGTAGAAGCCATTTCAGTTGGGAGAGGAGGAAGGGGGAAAGGGTGTCTGGGAAGAGGAGCAGTGTTTTCAAAGGTTTGGTTAGGGAGGGGATGTGACGGGTATACAGGGGGGGGGTATACAGGGGGAAGTGGAGGGAGTCGAGCTTTCCAAATCTTCCCACAATCCTCTTCTCCTCTGCAGCCCTGCCATCCATTGATAATAACACAGGTCCCATCTCCAATCTCCCCTGAAGCTTCTCCCCTTAGAGCCCAGGCCCACTGGATTCCTCCGGGGTTTCCCTCTAGTGTTGAGGGAAAACATTTTCTACAGCTGTGTAGGTTCATGTAAGGCAGATGGTAAAACAGAACTGGATCCACCCATCTATTCTTTCTGGAGAGGGAATTCTGGGCAAACCAAAACCACATTGTTGCCAGGTGCCAATACATGATTCGCACCTGTAATCTTAGCTACTCAGGAGGCTAAGCTCTGAAGATCAGGGTTCAAAGCCAGCCTGGGCAGGAAAGTCTGGGAGATTCATCTTAAATCAACCACCAAAAAGCCAGATGTGGAGATGTGATTTAAATGATCAAATGACAGCCTTGAGCACAAAAGCTCAGAGACAGCATCCAGACCCTGAGTTTAAGTTCCAGTGCCTGCACGCGTGTGTACGTGCACACACACACACACACACACACACACACACACAGAGAGAGAGAGAGAGAGAGAGAAAACATTCTTATTTCAGAATCTGAGAAACTGAGGCCCAGCAAGGCTTACAGATTAAAGGTGCTCTTGGGAATTAAAATCTATACCTCCTCCATTTCCAGGGTATGAGAGAGCACTGGGCTAGATGCAGTTAGGAAGTTCCTTCTGTTGTTTTTTTTTTTTTTCTTTTTTAAAACAAAGGGAAAAAACCCTCTTATATCCACTTCCTGGAGCTCATTCATAAATACTATGTTATATGATCAGATGCACGTAAAGGAAGTTCCTTCTTGAGGCCGGTTTTATAGATTGTGTGTACGTGCATTTGCGCATGTGTGCGTGTGCACATGCGCACATACACACATATACACACACACCATTCTAGAGCTTCTACATACTAAAGCTCCAGTGGAGGGACCAGAGCTGAGGTTAAGCTTTCACATTAGGTTGCTTCTGACTCCTGTTCAGCCAGCAGAGCCAGACTACATGCTTTAGCCCTTATATTGCTGCTCAAACAATGTATAGAAAATGATGACCTCCAGTATTCCTTTTCTGGAGCTCCCCCACATCTCCTCTCTGACCTATGCATTTCTTGCACAGCTGGGACCTTCTAAATCACTTCTGGAAACAGATTTCTGAGGGTATTACTATAAATAACTCTACAAGAGCCAGATTGTCCCGAACGCTGCTTCTTCTTCTTCTTCTTCTTCTTTTGTTGGTCATGGGGCTTGAACTCTGGGCCTGGGCACTGTCCCTCAGCTCTTCAGCTCAAGGCTAGCGTTCTACCACTTGAACCACAGCGCCACTTCTGGCTTTTTCTGTTTATGTGATGCTGAGCAATCGAACCCAGGGCCTACTGCATGCAAGGCAAGCACTCTACCACTGAGCCACCTTCCCAGCCCCTGAACCCTCCCTTCTTGTTCTCTAAGAATAGGGTGAGCAAGAATGGGATGGGATATCTCAGGTCTGCTCACTTCTTTCCAGGCCATCTCTCTCTCTCACACACACGAACACACACGCATGCAGGCGCACACACACTTGCAGATTACCGAGAAATAGATGTCCAAGAAATGGCAAGTTCCCCAGGGTTGGAAAGAGTCAAGACAGGCTGAAAAGCAAGCCTTCAACCTAGCTCCGCCCATTGCCCCGCCCCAGCTCTGCCGCACCCGTGGGGCCAGGCTCCCTTCCGTCGACTTTGCTCGGGAGCAGGCCAGCGGCCAGGCTGTAAGAAGCAGCTAAGCAGCCGAAGAAGCAGCTGTTCCACTCCCTGCCATTGTGTCCAGTGTCCGGCGCTCTCAGGTGCTCAGATTCCCAGGGCAGGGGGACGGGTTGGGCAATCAGCAACCGGGGAAGGGGGTCAGCTGCCTGGAGCTTTCCTGATCATTGCTTAACGCTGATCTGATCGCAGATCTGCTCACAGCCAAGGGCCTGGACCCCCCAGGGATCCCTGCCTGAGGGGCTTCAGCTCGGGCCCCCTATGGGGCTGTTCCTGACATCCAACGCATACTGTCTGCTGCTGTTGCTGGGGCTGCCAGTGGTGTTCATGGGGGGCTTGGACTGGCAGTGCCGGCGCATGCCCTATTCGGCCTCTCGAAACTTTGAAGTGAAATATGTGATTCCCAGTTTCTCTTTGGGTGGCCCGGTACAGGCCATGGTGACGTATGAGGATGAAGAGATTGGGAGTGCCTTATTTATCGCCACACGCAATCGACTACATGTGCTTGGAGCTGATCTGCAGTCTATCCAGAGCCTGGCCACTGGCCCTGTTGGGGACCCTGGCTGCCAGACCTGTACATCCTGTGGTCCAGTTACCCCAGGCCCACTGGGGGACACAGACACGCTGGTCCTGGTGATGGATCCTGGGCTTCCGGCGCTGATCAGTTGTGGATCGAGCCTTCAAGGCCGCTGCTTCTTGTATGAACTGGAGCCCCAAGGAACAGCCTTGCACCTGTCCACACCAGCCTGCCTCTTCTCACCTGAACACAACAGGCCTGAGGATTGCCCTGATTGTGTGGCTAGCCCATTGGGCACCAAAGTGACCCTGGTTGAGCAGGGCCAAGCCTCTTACTTATATGTGGCATCTTCACTGGACCCAGTGGTGGCTGCCAGCTTTAGTCCACGCTCTGTGTCCATCCGACGGCTCAAGGCGGATGCCTCCGGATTTCAACCAGGCTTTCCTGCCCTGTCGGTGCTGCCCAAGCACCTGGCCTCTTACCCAATCAAATATGTGCACAGCTTCCACGCTGGAGACTACGTCTACTTCCTGACTGTGCAACCTATCAGCGTGACAAGCACTCCTGGTGCCCTGCAAACACGCCTGGCACAACTTAACGCCGTGGAGCCGGAGCTCAGTGACTACCGAGAGCTGGTTCTCGACTGCCATTTTGCACCTAAAAGGCGCCGTAGGACCTCCCAGGGCACACAGTCTTACCCAGTGCTTCAGGCTGCCCACTCAGCTCCAGTGGGTGCCCAGCTTGCTGCTGAACTGAGCATCTCAGAGGGCCATGAAGTGCTATTCGGGGTCTTCGTAGCTGGCAAGGATGGGGGTCCTACCACAGGCCCCAAATCTGTTGTCTGTGCCTTTCCTATTCATTTGCTAGACTTCATGATCAAAACTGGGGCTGAGCGCTGTTGTGAGTCTTCAGGTGATTCTAGTTTCCCCCGAGGCCTTGACTTCTTCCAGACATCCAGTTTTTGCCCCAATCTGGTGAGCAGAAAGAAGCCCTCCAACCCTCCCTCCCCCGGCTCCTGCCCTTTGGACAGTCGGTTTGTGGCTGAATGTAGGGCTGCTTTCCTTCCCTCACTGAGGGGACCTGGGTTGGGAAGACTGGGGTAGTGTGAGAAATCAGCCAAAGAAAAGCCACACCAGGTCTGGGAAGGTGGCTCAGTGGTAGAGTGCTTGCCTTGCATGCATGAAGCCTTGGGTTCGATTCCTCAGCACCACATACACAGAAAAAGCTGGAAGTAGCGCTGTAGCTCAAATGGTAGAGCGCTAGCCTTGAGCTGAAGAGCTGAGGGACAGCGCCCAGAAAAGTCACACCAGAGATGCATCTTCCAGCCAGGTTTGTCCCCTATTGGTGCCTCATTTTGCTCTTGTTAGTTTGTTTGTTTTTTGTCTTAGGGTTTTAACTCTGGGCCTGGGCGCTGTCCCTGAGCTCTTCAGCTCAAGGCTAGTACTCTACCATTTGAGCCACAGCGCCACTTCTGGCTTTTTCTGTGTATGTGGTCCTGAGGAATCGAACCCTGGGCTTCAGGCATGCTAGGCAAGCACTCTACCACTAGGCCACATTTCCCAGCCCCCTAGTCTAATAATTCTTTTTCTTCTTCTTCTGTCAGTCGTGGGGCTTGAACTCTGGGCCTGGGCTCTGTCCCTCAAGGCTAGCGCTCTACCACTTGAGCCACAGGATCACTTCCTCATTTTGCTCTTTTACCCTCTTAGTCATCATGGCTTCTGTTGTTGTTGTTTCCCTGGTTATGTGAAGATAGGATTGCAACATAACTGTCCCTGCCAGTATAGCTCCCAAATTCTGGGTTGGATAATGGGCATCCATTCCTATCTGCCTACCTCCAGAGACACACTCAGAAAAGTATACACAGAGGCACAAACATACAGGCAGATGCTTACAAGCACATAAACTCACAGCTGCTTGCCAACATAAATTTGGCTTTCCTTGTTTTGTTCCGATTTCCAAAAGGGGTTGGGGTGGGTGGGAATGGAGTTGTCAGAAAGCATCTTACCCCACCAGGGGGTTTCCAGGGAGGATCCTGGACCTTGGAAATCTGTGTACTTATTGGGTAGTCTGTGTGACCTAGGCTTTTACTAACCCATTTTTAGTAGGAGTGATTACAAAACAATCTGGGACATGTTAGGAAGGCAACTTGGCTCCAAAGGATTCTGGGAGCCTCACCCCAATCTTGAGCAAGCAGTTGTAAACATCTAGGGATGAGTAAAGACCTAGGAAGGGCTGATTGGAATTGGTCCAGCCAAGACTTTCTGCTACTATAGCCAAGGTCTGCGCTAGATAAGGTGGTCTCACAGCTCCTGTTCCTTCCAGTAGACCCTACTGAGGCTGTCCAGCTTTAGTCTCAGGAAGGGAAAAATAGAAACAAATAGGACTTTTTTCCTTACTGTGCTGTCCAGAGAGCCTGGGGTTGTAACAACGGTAAAGTAATATGAGGTCTGAATCATCAAGCAGACCCACAGCCACTGCCTTCAGAGTCTCTGGCCACCCTTACATCCCTAGGTCTTTCTGTGATTCCCCCTCACTGATTCTTTCAGCTCCTCTCAATGCCCCAGAGGTAAATACCCAGGGAATAGGTGGGAATGTTTAGCTTCTCATCTTTACTTAACACACCAGAGTTGAAAGACCTTAAGGGTGTAGACTTCTTTTTCTGGGACTGGACAGCCAGCCCTGCCTGGTTTCATCTCCTTCCCTTTGGGGGAGTCAGAACCTTTCCCAACTTAGTTAATGGTATGTGGGTTGGAAGATATCCAACAAGACTGGTCAGTGCCAGGCACCAGAAGGACTAATCTTGGGTCCTGCCCACAGGCTGGCCTGGCCCCTGGGAGATGTGTGAGCCAGTGTTTGCTCAATGATTGTAGGCATTCAGCACCCACTGAGTGCTCTTTGTGATTGGCTGAGGGACTGATACCCATTTTTCTATAGGTTCAGGTAAGGGTATGGGCCTTGCATAGGATATTGGAAACTTAAGTGTCTTCAGGAACGGGCTTAGTCAAGCCTAGTAGCTAAGGGCTTGGGGCCTAGAGGCAAGCTACACGGGTGTGGCCTGGTTGAGTTAGCACCTCTCTTTTAGCTCCACAGCCCCACCTGTGCCTGAGTCATGATAAAAGAACCTGACAGGCTTCCAGCTAGGGCCAGGCCCTTGTCCTTCTCAAGTGAAGACAAAGTCCCAGTCTCCACCCACAGAATACAAACTCAGAGTGTAGAGGGTGTGGACACCCAGCTTTGTACTTCCTCTGGTCCCTCTACCATCCCCAGTTCCGTTCAGCACTGAGATCAGGGGCAGGTGAAGTTCATGTGGCACGCTGAAGGCTTTGAGGAACCTTGAAGAGGGCCCTAAGGGATGGCCCGGAGTGTCCTGAGCACCTCAGCCTATTCTTTTGTGCACTTCTCACCCAATCCCAATATATTGGCCAATTAATCATTACAGCACACCCGCAGAGGCCAAGCATGACCAGGAGGGGGCAGGAGAGGACTCTGACTAAGAAGATTGATTAAGAGCACAGACTTCCAACTTGCCTCTTCAGAGGCTGTGAAGCCTGACAAGCAAATTTGTCTCTAGATGAATGAAGCTGGCATCAAGTTGGGTCTGTGAGACTCAGTACCTCATGAGGAGGCTGGAGCAGGAGGATCATTAGTTCAAGACCTAGATTACAGAGAGAGAGAGAGAGACCTTGTTTCAAAAATGATCAGTAATGATCAGGATGGATATAGACGAAGAGAGCAAAGGAGTAAGGGAGCTGGCCTTCTAGCCTGGGCCTCCTTTCTTCTCTGTCTTTGTCTCTTCTAAGACCCCTGGGAACAGTGGGAGGCAGGCAGAAAATATGCGGACTTAGGGACTTCTTCAGCCAGGCCATGGAAAGGGGTTGGAGTTTGGGCTGTTATGATTACTGTCAAAAGTCCCCCAAAGGGTCAGTGCACAAGTACAAAGCCTTATTGTCTTTTCCGTTACCTTCCTCAGCCTATCTCAGAGGTTCCCAGCTCCAGCAAGAGCTGCTACCATTTTCCTCTATTGGTCAGCAACAGCCTCACACGCGTGGACTTATTCAATGGGCTATTAGGACAGATGCACATCACCGCACTGCATGTGACACGTCTTGGCAACATCACCGTGGCCCACATGGGCACCACGGATGGGCGTATCCTGCAGGTAGATGCTTCACTCCATAACCCGCCTCAGCCCTTGCATGCCTGTCTCCATCCCCATTTTGCTCACAGCTAATTTTTCCCAGGTGGAGCTAGCCCGGTCACTCAACTACTTGCTGTATGTGTCCAACTTCTCACTGGGCAATAGTGGCCATCCCATTCAACGAGATGTCAGTCGCCTTGGAGACTATCTATTCTTCGCCTCTGGGGACCAGGTGAGGTGGGCAGGGTCACAGCCAGGGGACAGAGTTGTGGGACGGCCAACCTCCCAGTTCAATATAAGGCGATATTGATGTACAGGAGTGAGACTCACTTCCTATTCTAAAATGAGACCAGGAGGGCCTAAGGGACCCATTTCCTTCCTCTAGTCATCCCTGAACCATCTGGTTTGTCACTCCCAAGGTCTTCAAGGTACCTATCCGGGGTCCGGGATGCCACCATTTTCTCACCTGCTGGCGTTGCCTACGTGCGCAGCGTTTCATGGGCTGTGGTTGGTGCGGGGACATGTGTGGCCGGCAGAAGGAGTGTCCTGACTCATGGCAACAGGACCACTGTCCACCCGAGATTACTGAGGTACAACTCCCCTGCCAGGGCACAGATAAATGTGGGACAAGGGGCTGGGAAGGTGGCTCAGTGGTAGAGTGCTTGCCTTGCATGCATGAGGCCCTGGGTTCGATTCCTCAGCACCACATAAGCAGAAGAAAAAGCCAGAAGTGGCGCTGTGGCTCAAGTGGTAGAGTGCTAGCCTTGAGCTGAAGAGCTGAGGGACAGTGCTCAGGCCCAGAGTTCAAGCCCCACAACACACACACACACACACACACACACAAACTCAGGCTATCTGTTTGCCCCACTTCAGTTCCACCCCCACAGTGGGCCTTTAAGAGGAACCACAAGGCTTACCTTGTGTGGCTCCAACTTCTACCTGCATCCTACTGGGCTGGTACCTGAGGGAACTCATCAGATTACTGTGGGCCAAAGCCCTTGCCGGCTTCTACCTCAGGACACCTCAAACCTCAGGTACAATCTAGACCCTGTACCTCCCTATCTCCTTCTCTGTGAGAAAGACGGTATCCTCTGCTTGCTGCGGGACGGGGGTGGGGTCTGGGGCACGCTGGCAGTGTGGCTCTGGCTGGTTTATTCTGTGGAGATGGCTCTTGTTCCCTCCTGAACCCTGCATGTGTTACTACCTGTCTGTGATGTCATACACTGGGTAAATTAGGTCCCTACCCCACTCTGTCCATCCCACCATGGAAGAAGACATGGGTGGAGCAGTTGCGTTCTTCAGATTCTGAGGAGTTCTGTGGGCATGCAGCCAGGCCTTTGCACTTCCTGGCTGACTTCATGGGTTCCCCCTGGTACTGTAGCCCTGTACCCCGCAAAGACTTTATAGAGGAACTTGAGTGTGAGCTGGAACCCTTGGGCACCCAGGCAGCGGGGACCACCAACGTCAGCCTCCTCGTGACCAACATGCCACCAGGAAGGCACTACCGGGTAGACGGCACCTCCATAATGGGAGGTTTCTCTTTTATGGTGAGGTCATCTTATCCCCCCTCTGTGTCCTTGGTTGGGGAGGGCTTGGAGTGGAGGGCTTGCTCCGGCTAAGCTTCTTCAACACCCTTTTAGGAGCCAGTGCTGAGGAAAGTGCACCCCATCTTTGGCCCACGGGCAGGAGGTACCTGTCTTACCCTTGAAGGTCAGAATTTGTCCGTAGGTACCAGCTGGGCTGTGCTGATCAATGGAACTGAGTGCCAGCTAGAAAGGTAAGTGCCAGCAGGAAAGAGGACAGGAAGCTAGAGAGTCCCACCCCTTCTACCTGTACCCTGCTAGGCTGGTACATGGAGGAACCTACGAAGATCACTCCTGCCTGCTACCTTTGACCCTATTGGTACAACTTGATCCCTGCCCTCCCTGTCCTTGATGGGGGCCTCCAAGCATCCTCTTCCCTAGGACTCCCTGTGCTCTCATTCATCCAGTGGGGACTTGGATCCTATCAGGGTCCACAGAAGAGGGCCTAATCATATGGTCAGTAGGAGGAGCAGTTCCCAGAAGATCTACTGTTCCCACAGGCTGGAGGCAAGGAAGCCCATCATGGCATCCACTGGCTCCAGCCAAGACTGTGGGGAATCTGTTCCCTTCCTCTTTGCCCTTCTAGTTATCATTTATTTATTTATTTGGGGGAGGATTTGAACTTATCCCTTAAGCCACGCCCCTTGGCTAGGGCGACAAGCCAATAGAGAAAGTAGACAGGATTAGCAAGCCCTTAGAGAAAGTAAGCATGGCCTTCATGGGAGTAGATGTGTGTGGATGGGGGCCGGAGGGGGGGGGGAAGGTACTCCTGAGTCCAACCCCTCATTCCTGCAGGGTCAGCGAGGGGCAGATTTTATGTGCCACACCCCCTGGGGCTGCCACGGCCAAGGTCCCCCTTCACCTACAGGTAGGGGGTGCAGAGGTGTCTGGCTCCTGGACCTTCTACTATAAGGAAGACCCTATCGTGCTGGCAATCAGTCCCAATTGCGGCTATTCGTAAGTTTGAACTCCTTGATCCATGCTGGCCTCTGAAAGAATAAAGGCAATAGCTTCAGGAAGCATTACCAATCACTGTGCTCTCATCCGCAGCGGCTCCCATGTCACCATCCGTGGCCAGCATTTGAGCTCAGCATGGCGCCTAGTGCTGTCATTCCATGATGGACAAAGAGCTGTGGAGAACTGGGTAAGTGAGGGCTGGGAGGAAGGGAAGTCCCCTGATCTCCAGGCTAGGCTGTGGAGACTAGGGCCCCAGGTAGAGCATCTACCTAACTATTCTCTCGTGGGTCCCAACAGTGTGCATCTGAAGGGCATCTGGAGCAGATCCAGTGCCGCCTGCCCGAATACGTGGTCCGAAGCCCTCAGGGATGGGTGACAGGAAATCTGAGTGTCTGGGGAGACGGAGCTACTGGCTTCACCTTGCCCAGCTTTCGCTTCCTAGCCCCTCCGACTCTACCCAGCGCTGAACTAGCCCCATTGAAGCCTGAGGAGTATGCTGTGAAGTTTGAGGTTGGTGGAGGGGCACAAGGAGAGACGGGGTTATGGAAGATGGAGCGATGAGGGCCCTGGTCACTGGTTGATCTTCGTGATTGTCTCTGCAGTATATTGGGCTGGGCGCTGTGGCTGACTGTGTTCGTGTGAACGTGACTGTGGGTGGTGAGACCTGCCAGCACCAGCTCCGAGGGGATGTGGTGGTTTGTCCACTACCACCCTCCCTGAAACTTGGCAAGGACGGGGTTCCATTGCAGGTAGGCAGTCCAACTGGCCCTCCATGGGAACCATGGTCTAAAGGATCTATGGGGCGGGGCCTGAGCTGTCATCTGCTCCCAGGTCTGTGTGGATGACGAGTGTCGCGTTTTGGGCAGAGTGGTTCGGCCAGGCCCAAGCCCAATGAGAACACTCCTTATTGTCCTGCTGCTCTTGGTCTTCCTCCTGGCTGTACTGGCCGGGGCACTGATTTTCAACCACCGATGGCGGAGGAAGCAGCTAGGTGAGCTCTCTTACACTTGCCAACTCAGCCTCTACCCTGCCCCCCCCCCCCCCCCCCGCGCTTGAATCTCCAAGTCCCTCTCTGCCTAAGACTCAGGGCGATCTCCCACACTTCCCCAGTGCCAGGAGAGGTGGCCCCCAAGAACTTGGTGAGGCTGATCACCAGCGCTATGTTTTCACAGTTCTTTCTTCCAACCTCGATGATTTGGCATCTCTGGACCAGACAGCTGGAGCTATGCTCCTGCCAATGCTCCATTCGAGCTCAGATGACCCAGGTGGCCTTGGTGAGATGGTGGAAGGCACTAAAAGTTAGGGCTACCTGCTCCCCACAAGCCTCTCACTCCCTCTCCCCAACAGTACTCTCTGCCGTTGGTGGGCAAGACTCCAGTACCCCGGCCCATGGAGAATCATCAGATAATAGGGATGGATCCTGTGTCCCACTGTTTCGGACCGAGTCCATCAAGCTCAAGGACCTAGACACAGCACTCCTCGCCGAGGTCAAGGATGTACTGATTCCCTATGAGCGGGTAGTCACCCACAGTGAACGAGTCATTGGCAAAGGTATGGAGGAGTCACGTGGAGAGGTAGAGTTGGAGCAAAGATGTAGCCCTGAGATGACATGGACTTGAGGAACAGTTGGGCCAGACTCTGCTCTGGCTTCCTGACCAATTATGTGATCTTGAATGTATCACATAACCCCTCTAAGTCTCATTTGTGGAAGCTACAGTAACTATCTTCAGTGGGTTCTGGTATGGATTCAGAAGGCATGGAAGGCCCGCAAAGAACTCTGCCATTGTGTGGCTGCTTGGTTGTTTTCCTTCCCCGCCCCCCCCCCCGCCTCTTCTTCCTCCCCCTCCTCCTCCTCCTCTTCTTCCTCCTCCTCCCTCCTCCTCCTCCTCCTCCTCCTCCCCGTCCTCCTCCCCCTCTTCTTCCTCTCCTTCCTCTTCCTCCCCCTCCTCCTCTCCTTCCTCCTCCTCCTCCTCCTCCTCCTCTCCCTCCTCCTCTTCCTCTTCCTCTTCCTCTTCCTTCTACTTTACCACTTGTGCTATACCTCTACTTCTGGCTTTTTGCTCATTGGAAATAAGAGTCTCATGGACTTTTTTTTTTTTTGGTCTGGACTGGCTTTGAACTGAGATCCTCAGATCTCAGACTCCCAAGTAGCTAGGATTACAGGCAGCTTCTTCCCTTCCCTTCCCTTTTGGAGACAGACTCTCTATATATCTCAGGCTAGATTAAGCTCACCATCCTCCTGTCTCTACCTTCCAAGGTGCCACTGTACCCTGCTGGCACTACTTGGTTTCATTTATTTATTTGTTTGTTTGTTTGTTTTTTGCCAGCCCTGGGGCTTGAACTCAGGGCCTGGGCACTGTCTCTGAGCTTCTTTTTGCTCAAGGCTAACACTCTACCACTTGAACCACAGCTCCATTTCTGGCCTTTTCTGATGATGTGGTACTGAGGAATCCAAACCCAGGGCTTCATGCATGCTAGACAAGCACTCTACCACTAAGTCACATTCCCAGCCCTACTACTACTACTTAGTTTTAATGTCAGATTGGCCAAGTTGGTGCTCTGAAGCCTGAAGTCCTGTGGCCAATGAGCGGATGTGTTGTAATCCTGGGCCCTCTCATCATCTCCTTCTTCCCAGGCCACTTTGGAGTTGTCTACCACGGAGAATACACAGATGAGGCTCAGAATCAAATCCACTGTGCCGTCAAGTCATTGAATCGTAAGTAGGTCATTGTAAGTCGGGTGAGCAGGGAGAGCAGCCTCAGGCTGAGAGGGTCACAGGGTTTGTTATGCTTCCCTGCAGGTATCACAGAGGTACAGGAGGTGGAGGCCTTTCTTCAGGAGGGGCTGCTCATGCGTGGCCTGCACCACCCCAATGTTCTGGCTCTCATTGGTATTGTGCTGCCACCTGAGGGGCTACCTCAGGTGCTGCTACCCTATATGCGCCATGGAGATCTACTCCGGTTCATTCGTTCACCTCAGCGGGTCAGTGCTCTGCTGGCTCTGGGGGCCACAGCGGGGGGAAGGGGCCATGAAGGGGGTGCTTCTCTTCTTCAGCATCCCAATTTTCCCTGTGCCCACAGAACCCCACTGTGAAGGACCTCGTCAGCTTTGGCTTGCAGGTAGCCCGTGGCATGGAGTACTTAGCAGACCAGAAATTTGTCCACAGGGACCTAGCTGCTAGGAACTGCATGTGAGTAGCTGGCTAGACGTAGTTAAGGGTGAAGTCAATGGGCCGGGCATGAAGGTAGATGGCTGTCCAAGTATATGTCAGGAAAAGAGTCACTCCAGTCCTCAGCATGTCTTCTTGTCTCTTGGGCCTCGATTTACTGTCTCTCCAACCTTGGACTGGGACATGGTGGCTGTGAAAGTCTGGGAGGGCCTGGAACAGGTGGGTTTGGAGCCTGATGGAAGTCAATTCTGAGGCTGATTCTTTCTTCCCAGGCTGGATGAGTCATTTGTAGTCAAGGTAGCTGACTTCGGTCTGGCCCGTGACATCCTAGACAAGGAATACTACAGTGTTCGACAACAACGACACGTGCGTCTGCCTGTCAAGTGGATGGCCCTAGAGAGCCTTCAGACCTACAGATTCACCACCAAATCTGATGTGGTAAGGCTCTTAGCTGCTCTCTGTCTACTTAGCTGACACTTATCTCTGCATGGTCTGAGCCAGTTGACTATTCAGTTTAGGCAACCCCTGCTGCTCATTTGTCCAAATATGAGATCGAATCTCATACCTGCCAGGGAAAACAGGACATTCTACTCATTGGCTCCTCAGAGAGACTCCAAGGCTTCCCCTGCACAAACTCTGGGCAAGGTGGTGGGAGACGGGAGAAACTTGCAGGATATGAGTAAGGTCTGAGCAGAGGTGGTGGGCCTGTATTTCTAACTGAAGGATTCTGGGAGGGATAGGACCTAGGGGGTTCCACGTGCCGTCAATTTAGAGCACTAGATGAATCTCTTCATTTCTCTCTTCTCCCAGTGGTCCTTTGGTGTGTTGCTGTGGGAACTGCTGACACGGGGTGCTCCGCCGTATCCCCATATTGATCCTTTTGACCTCATCCACTTCCTGGCCAAGGGTCGCCGTCTGCCTCAGCCTGAATATTGTCCCAATTTTCTGTGAGTATGTGGAGTTGGCAATGGGGAAGGAGCAGAGGGTCCCCTAGAGATAAAGGAAGGACAGGAAACAGCCCCTGCATGGCTTTTTGATTGACCCTCTAGTTAACAAGAAAAGTTATCTTCTCTGGGCCTCAGTTTCCTCATCTGTGTACTGATTCCCCTCCCATGCATGGAAGGATACTGAGAGGACCTCTCAGTTTCCATGGTAACAGCATCCTAACTCAGTCTGGGTTGAGGCCAGTGCTTTCATTTCCCACACACTCCTGCTAAAGGGGAAGGGGGGGGGGACTCTTTCCCATGTTTTCCACTTACTTAACCGCAAAGAAAGGTTCCATTAGCTCACACCAGCCCCTCTGCATTCCCAGATCAAGGCCCCCACCCCACCCCATAGGATCTAATTTCAGATACCTCATTCTGTGTGTGTGAGCAGGGGGGGGGGGGGGGGGAGTAGGTGGGGGAGGTGCATGTGTCTGCCAGGCCTAGAGCTTGAACTCAGGCCCCAGCTCAGAAAACAAGACCAAAAACATCAATCATAAGAGTTGTTCCTGATTGGACGGAGCCTTGTCATGTGTGCTTATCCCTGTTTAACAAGGGTTTAAAGTGGATGGTTCAGCATCTCTGGATTAGGGAGTACACCTTGTCCCTGACCTTCCCCTCCTCTTATAGGTACCAAGTGATGCAGCAGTGCTGGGAAGCAGACCCTGCAGCACGACCTACCTTCAGAGCACTAGTGGTGGAAATGGAGCAGGTAGTGGCTTCACTGCTAGGGGACCACTATGTACAGCTGTCGGCGGCCTACGTGAACCTAGGCCCCAGCACCTTGGATGAAATGAATGTGGTTTCGAAACAGCCTCAGTCCTCACCAATACACAAGAGCACATCTAGGCCTCGGCCTCTCTCAGAGCCACCTCTGCCTACTTGACCTAAAGCCTAGGCAGGCCCTTGGGGGGCTGGACTTGCTGAGTATCCTTGAGCTAACTCCAAGCTACCTCTGGATCATTCCCGGCCTGAGAGCATTGGATCTCCATCTTGTCTCTGCCCTTTAATCTTCAGAGGTCATAGGAGGAGAATAGAGGACATTAACTCTCTTACTCCCCAGAATGAGCCAGGGAGGATGATCCTTCTGTAGCATATATTTATGAAATGCCTGCTGTGGACCCTGACTGCTGGACATAGATAATTCAGCAGTGACCACAGAGACACTACCCCTTGAATCAATTTTTTAAGGAAAGAATATTTGGGACTGGGAAGGTGGCTCAGTGGTAAAGTGCTTGCCTTGCATGCATGAGGCCCTGGGTTCGATTCTTCAGCACCACATAAGCAGAAAAAGCTGGAAGTGGCGCTGTGGCTCAAGTGGTAGAGTGCTAGCCTTAAGCTGAAGAGCTGAGGGACAGTGCCCAGGCCCAGAGTTTCGGCCCCATGACCAACCGAAAAATAAATAAAGAAAAAAAGAATATTCAAATGTAAATTATGGCTTATGTTATAAAAGATAACAGACTTATTTGAAGCTATGGAGGACTACTCTACATTAAAGAAGTTACTACAAAGGTGAGGTAAGCATCCCAAGAAGTTTTGTGTGTGTGTGTGTATGTGTGTGTGTGTGTGCACACACGCCAGTATTGTGGCTTGAACTCAGGTCTTCATGCTCTCACTTGTTTTTTGTTTTTTTTTGGGGGGGGGTCTGGTTGTGGGCCTGAACTCTGGGCCTGGGTGCTATCCCTCAGCTCTTCAGCTCAAGGCTAGGGCTCTACTACTTGAGCCACAGCACCACTTCTGGCTTTTTTTCTGCTTATGTGGTGCTGAGGAATCGAACCCAGGGCCTCATGCATGCAAGGCAAGTGCTCTACCACTGAGCCACCTTCCCAGCCCCTCTCACTTGCTTTTTTCACTCAAGGATGGTGCTCTACCACTTGGGCCACACTCCCATATCTGTCTTTTGGCTGGTTATTTGGAGAGAAGAATCCCACAGATCCTTCTGCTTAGACTGGCATTGAATCATGCAGATCTCAGGCCTCCTGAGTAGCTAAGATTTATAGGCATGAGCTATCAATGCTGGGCCTAGGAAATAATATTTGTGCTGAATCTGTATCAGGTGGGGGAAATCTGCCAGAAGCCAAATTTGAGGAAAGAGGGTTTTGGACAGAGGGAGCCTCATGTATAAGGGCCATGTGTAAGTCACATTCCCAGCCCTACTACTACTACTTAGTTTTAATGTCAGATTGGCCAAGTTGGTGCTCTGAAGCCTGAAGTCCTGTGGCCAATGAGC